TCATACGTGAATGTGGGTGTAACACCATTATATTTAGCCTAATGTAAATTTTCATACATATTTTTGTACAAATTTGGTACAAAAAAAACTGATCCAAAAAAGCTAATGAGCTTAAAAAGGTAAAATAATTATAATAATATATTATTATTTAAAAGTTTCACATGAACAAAAATATTCATGTGACAATAGGTAAACACCAATTAAACACATTAATTGAGAGGATCTCGAGATATTATGTCAAGAAAAACATTATTCGACACTTTAACAATATAAAAGCTATATTATTCGAATTCTTAAAAATTAAATACCTATACAGGCATATTAAATCTTTCAGCATATAGGTGTAACAATATTTTCAAAACGTCCATGCAACATATATCATAAAAGAACAAAAAAAGATGCCCCCAAAAATTGTTTACTCAAATAATTCTATTTAATACAAATTAAATATTCTTTTATGCTTGTGACTTATGAAGGATACCTTTTGTTATAGTATCATGAATATTATTTAATAATCTTATTCTATTCTACAACTTTTTAGATAAGAATAATATATAAAACCATTCAATAAATCCATTATACTCTTGAAGTGCTTCTTTAATTTTATTAAGTTTTTTACTACATTTTTTCTTACCATTTAATTTTTTTTCTTGATTGGAGAAAAAATAAACCAAATTTAAGGAATAGAATCCTTATAATTAGACAGGTTTACTAATAAGAACTTTTCCAAACAATTGATTATTGCTACATGGAAATGTATTAGTAGACTATGTTGGGGTACTATCGAGGGTTGTGGTGGTATGGATATGTTCTCTTCAACCTTAATGATCTCGGATTTGAGGTAATTTGGGTATGGAAAACATCTTAGGGAGCATTTTCACCTTTAATGAGTCTTACGTGACTCACGCCGTCACGCGAATCTGGATTTGTCAAGATTGGAATGGAGATATCAGACATCGGTTGGAACAAAAAAAAAACTATTATATTGAAGCCAAACATGAATCTAGGATTTGAATTTGATGAATTAGATAATATTGAAACTATTGTATATATTGATCAAATTTGAATATTTGTTGATATTTTCATGTGTGTATTTATGGTTGGTCTAAAAACATTCGTGCATAACGTCGTTTTTTTTCTTATAATTTTAAGGGGAAACGGGGAGGTGATTACAATGTGGGAAATCGAACCCTCACCAATAAGACGTGAGTTCAGGTAACCAACCAACTGAGCTACTAAGATCCCTCCTAACGTGGTTATATGTGCTCATAAAAGCAAAGCATCAAGTTCTTATCTATGTTATAATTGAGAGTTGATGCTTAAAAGGAGCTAATTTTGTTCCCTTAGAATGAAACTATTCATAAAGATTCTATGAATCTAATATCTAATCCTTAGTGTTGTTTCTCCTATTTTTTACTTCTTGTTATGTAGCCGCGCTTGTATCGTCGGATCCTATAAAAATATACTCCCTTGATATCAGTTTGTTTGTCTTGTTTTGACTTGACACGAAGTTTAAGAAAGTTAACAAGACAGAGAATCTTGTTGTCTTAAACTAAAAATATATCAAATGTATCAAAACCAGACTTTTTTTTTAAACGGACTACAAAGGACAAACAGATTGAAACTGAGGGAGTACTGCTTTTGGAGGATCCCATCGATACTTTTGAAGAGTCCGTGAGCAACATAGCTTTTGCTTTCTTTATAGGCCTAAACAACATTGATTGATTGTCAAGATTACATAATAATGGACAGTCAGAAAGAAAACAAAATCTGAAGGAATTTCATTCATTAGAACACATTATGTAACAGTGCCACAGTTACAATGTAGTTAGGAATTAAGGTCTCTGAAGGTAAATCTTCAATAAAAACTTAATGTCGCCGCGTCCCTCAATATAACTCACTTTCTCTCAAGTCACCTCCTGAAAAAACAGAACAGGATGTTAGTAAATGAAAAATGGTGTTGGAAAGTGAAACGTCGATTAAGGCAGATGTCTCACCAGAATCCTTAGGTGTCTTGCACTTATAACATTCAGCTCTACTGGCATAGTTGTGCATACCACAGCCTATTCTGTAGATCAAGAAGGAAGTTTTGTCAGTTAAATATGCTCGTAGTAAATATCGAGGACTTCTAGTACTTTTTATTTTTGGTATTCACTTTTGGTTTATATAACATAGGACTGCGATGTGAAGGGGAGCCTTGGTGCAACAGTAACATTATCCGTAATGTGACTAGGACGTCTCGAGTTCAATCTGAGGAAGGTGAGGCTGCATACATAAGACTCTATAGACTATATGGCTTGGCCATTTTCTGGATCCTGCGGATCGTGGGAGCTTAATGCAGGGGTCTATACCTTATAATATTGGATTAAGATGAACTTAAGTGGAGCGATATGGAAAATGAGGATTCATATAGCCGATCAAATTTGTTGTCGTAGAGTAAGTCACTTGCATGGAAAATGAAAAGTGTGAAACTAACTTGGTGCAAATCCAATCACCACTCTTCCAACCAGGAAGAACACTTGAATCATATCCATAACCTGCTGGTGCCATCATTCCTGTGCCAATACCATAATAATCACTTTTTACGGAACCACATCGATAGCAACTTGTTCTGCTTGCATAGTTGTGAGAACTACAGTTCATACCACTACAATACCAATCTCCAGCAAGAACATCTGTTTTGTTTAGTCCATACATTGCAACGTCAGCTGACGTTGCATATTTAGGACAGCTACATCGTTGGCATCCATCCCGTTTCTTGAAATTTACGTGCTGGCATGCAGCACACATCCAATCTCCTTCCCTGTTCATCTTCTGTCCTTGAAACCTGAATTCAGCAAACATGAAAACATCAAATCTTAAAGGCTTAAGTTTTTTGAAAAACTTTCATGAAAGACAGAAGCTTTTTTATGTAGAAGCCGGAAGAATATGAAATTTGATTCTTACCAAAGATAATGAAATGAACTACACAAGGAAAAACACATTATGAATGCCTCACCTTAAGAAAAGTTACAGATTAGACAAACTGAGCTTCTCGACTAGACGTAAAAACTTGAAGATCAAGAAATGGTTTGCTGAAGCTGATAAATTTTGATGAATGATTTGGAGAGGTTTATATAGTAACAGGATCTCATTATTGGGGCCAAAAAAAGATCCTTTTTTTTTATCTGTTTTGAATTATAGACAGTTTCCTTAAATGGGATCCACAACCACATGATGATGTTTATAAATATTGAAGAATTTTTTTGGATAAAACCTTGAAGAGTTTGACAAATGCATATGATGCTAACATCTCTTTTTTCCTAAATATTCTTCAATAATTTGAAAAAAATAGGGAATAGAATCCTAAAACAGACTTAAAAATTTGATTTTTTAACAGAAAAATTGACTTTTTATTGACAAAGATATTGGTTAAGAATAGGTTCTGGTTGTTTGGACACTAGGAGATATGCCATGGAATTGAAACAACTTCACATGAACTAAGACACTTGTCTACCATTAAAAATGGAATATAATTAATTTTGCATGGAATGTGAACCTTTTCCAAAATAATGGATTATTCCTACATGGAAATGTAAGAGTAGACTTTTTTGGAGCCACGGGCGGATTCAAGATTTAGACTTGATAAGTTTTATCTTTAAGGTACTTATCGCTGAACACATTGCATTTTTGTAGTTATTGGTTTGAAATATAATGTTTGTTGGCGTTCTTCGTGGTTTTTCACATGTATATTTTTGTTAGTGTGGTGGTGGTGGATCTGAAATTTAGATGTTGTAGGTTCTAAATTTAGATAGTGAGTTCTGAAATGTATATCTAACTCTAGACGTACTTGTCTTACGTGTCCACAAATGCACACATATATATAGACTTGATACGAAAGCACCAGCAGGTTCTATTGCAAATGCTAATCTGTGGTTGAATTTGTACTCATTGCTCCACTCACCCCAAACCCCTCATCTCTTGTTTGTGGTTGAATTTGTACTCATTGCTCCACTCACCCCAAACCCCTCATCTCTTGTTTGTGGTTGAATTCGCGACTGTTCTTTTCACGGCCCTTCCCCCACAATCCCTAAGATGGATAATGTTATAGAAATAATGTAACAAGAATCAATTCCATATTCTTATTCAGTAACTCAATAACTCTAATAGAAACAACCTCTCGAATTTTTCCTTATCTGAATGAGTCTTGCATTAAAATACGATTTTATATTGAGCTCTAAATATAAGTATGTAGATGGTCCTGCTGGTTAATGTACATGATCCTGTTCATGTTCTCTCCAATGAAGCCAAGCTTACTGCTAACTTATCGGTCAAAATCCAAGCTTTATTAGTGTGATTTAGAATAGTTCTTGGCTCATTCTTGTCTCTTCAGTTGCAAGGAGCTTACGAACACTCAACTGGGGTTCCCACTAGTTAGTTGCATTCAAATTATTGTTATTATCTGTTGTTTCTTGTACTTCCGTTACTTTTTCTAGACTACTTTGGCTTGTTTTTCCTTGAGCCGAGGGTCTATCAGAAACAACGTAACTTCTGTAAGAGGGTCTATCTAGATACATGCTACCCTTCCAAGAACCCGACTTTGTAGTTGCATTGAAATTATATGCACTTAGCTCAACAATGATGAAATGACTAACTCGAAAATGTTTCCGATTAGTTTGGTAATGGAAATGAGTTTGAGACTTGAAGGAAAGAATGAAAAGAGAAAAAGTGCAATTGGCTCACTAATAAAAGTAAAGCATCTGGTTCTTATCTGTGTGTAATAATTGAGAGTTGATGCTTAAAGGAACTAATTTTGTTCCTTTAGAGAGAAACCACTCAAATATTCTATGAATCTAATATCTGATCCTTATATAATTTCAACTTCCTTTTTTCTTGCTGTAAATTAAATGATACATAATGTTTGGTGGACTGTTAAGTTTCGATAATATGATTCGTTGGAGCACCCGACTAAAAGAAGACGTTGAAAGACAGAAAGAATGGAAAATCTGAAGGGATTTCATTCATTAGAACACTTGCACAGTTACAATGCAGTTAGAAATTAAACCCTTCTTTGAGAAACTAATCTAAAGAAACAAACTTCATATTGCCGCGGCCCTCAATATAACTCACTTTCTCTCAGATCACCTCCTGAGAAACAGAGAAATGAACAGGATGTTAGTGAATGAAAAATGATGTTGGAAAGTAAAACGTCGACTATGCAGTACCAGAATCATATGGCAGATGGCTCACCAAAATCTCTAGGTGTCTTGCATTTATAACATTCAGCTCTACTGGAATAGTTGTGCATACCACATCCTAATCTGTCGATCAAGAAGAAACAAGTAACGTAAAGATTGGACTTAAATGGAAGGACATGAATAATGAGGATTCATAAAGTCGATCCCTACTTGTTTGGAAATGAGGCGTAATATTTTTTTTTATTGAAGTTAAAGAGAACTAACCTGCTGCAAATCCAATCACCACTTTTCCAACCAGGAATAGAACTTGCATCATATCCATAACCTGCTGGTGCCATCATTCCTACCCCAATACCATAATAATCACTTTTTAAGGAAGCGCATCGATAACAGCTTGTTCTGCTTGCATAGTTGTGAGAACCACAATTCATGGCACTGCAATACCAATCTCCAGCAAGAACATCTGTTTTGCTTAGTCCATACATAGCAACATCAGCCGGTGTTGCGTATTTAGGACAGCTGCATCGTTTACATGCATCTCGTTTCTTGAAATTTAGGTGCTGGCATGCAGAACACATCCAATCTCCTTCCCTACTCATGATCTTTTTTCTTGAAATCTGAACTAGTAAACATGAAAAGATTATGAGAAAAAAATCTTCATACAAGAAGCAAAATAGGAGATAGTAAGAGTTTTGTTCCAATCTGAGATAAAGAAATGAACTTCACCTAAATCAAATGAAGAATAGAGCTTCTTGACTAAACGTAAACGTGTAGCTCAAGAAATGATTTGCTGGAGTTGATAGATTTTGATGAATGGTTTGGGAGGTTTATATAGTTGGAAGATCTCACTATTGGGGCCCCAAAGTTTCCTATTTGATCTTTAGACAGTTTCCTTAAATGGGATCCACAAGATAGAACAAAAAAATACTTGGATAAACCTTCCTTCTTGAGTGTACAGATATATGTTTTTCAAAAGTTGTCAACTGTTAAATTCATGCATTTGATGCTAACATCTCACTTTTCCTAAATATTCTTCAATAATTTGAACTTTCTTTCGCGATTGAAAAAAATATAGAAAATTTAGGGAATAGAATCTTAATTAGACAGACTAAAACAGTGATTTTTTAAACGGAAATTAACTTTTATTGACAGAGATATTTGAAAGAAAGACATGGTTAACATGAATTGGTTCTGGCTGTCTGGAGCACAGGAGATATGCCATGGAATTGAAACTGCTTCACATGAGCTGAGACACTTGTCTAAGATTTCCGAAATAATGGATTATTCCTGCATGGAGATCTAGCAGTAGCCACAGGCGGATTCAGGATTTAAACTTGATAAGTAATTTATCTTTAAGGTTCCTATCGCTGAATCCGATGCATTTTTGGAACTGTTGGTTTGAAGTATAATATTTGTTGACATGTTAGTGCTTTTTCACTTGTATATATATGGTTCGTCGTCTTGAAAATGATTAATGTATGATACATTTGCCTCTGGTTGGGGTTACTTAATTCAACCACCTTGGGATGGAAATCAAGTGTGCGTCTTTCTCCTCAAAATCAATATGGATTCAGAACGAGTATTGTTTAGTATATGCATACATTTATTTTCATTCTTTTTATATAATTCTAGCAAAACATAGTTACATAGATCTGCCTCGTCTTCTTGTAATGAGGTTTGTACTCCCAAATGTGAATGTATTTCCATGGATATACACATCCTCATAGAGGAACTTTAAAATGCATATTTTGGAGCAATATCTGGAGTTTTTCCTTATCTGAATGAGTCTTGCATTAAAATATGATTTCTTATTGAGCTTCAAATATAAGATTACTCGTGTTGAGTGTGACCGTCTTATCTAAAAGCTTAAACTATTAGAGAGAGCAAACTTTTAATTACTTAATTATGTCTTCAACACCCCCTCACATGCGAACTTGATTCCTTTTCATGGACTAAACACGTGAGAATTCTTTTTGATAATGGTCCTTTTGTTTGCACTTTGATGTTGCCAAGCATAATGCTAGATCGATTATCGGCCTAAAGCCAAGCCTTAGAAGTTCTTGGCTCATTTTTTCTCTCTAAAGTTGCGTTGAAAATGTTGCAGATTAGCATGGAAATGGAAATGAGTTCTGAGACTAGAAGAAAAGAAAAGAAGAGAAAAGGTGGAATTTGAGTTAACGTCATTGGCTCACTTATAAAAGTAAAGTATCAGGTTCTTATCTCTGTAATAATTGAGAGTTGATGCTTAAAGGAACTAATTTAGTTCTGTGAATCTAATAGCTGATCCTTCTGTACATAAGTGAAACATAACCCTTCACATTTATTAAAGCTACATAATACTCACTCCGTTTCAATTTGCTTGTATGGTTTTTGACTTGACACATAGATTAAGAAAGTACAGAAGACTTTTGAATCTTGTGGTGTTTAACTAAATTATGTAGAATGTATCGAAATGTACTTTAATCTTGCGGTATTAAACATTGTCATGCGGAAAGTAAGAATTAAAGAGTTGCCAAAAGAAGAAAGATATTATCATTGGAAACGGAGAGTGTATTATCATTGGACCATCCAACAAAAACAGTTTTTGAAACTTGAAAGAAAGGAAGAATGCAAAATTTCATGTGAACTAACATGCTGCAAATCTGAAAGTGAACATGAAAAGATTATGTGAACAAACTTTCTATATGCATTATATGAACAGTTATGTCATTCTAGAAAGAAATTCCGCGGCCATTAAACTTGCATCAAAGACAGCAGCTTTTTTTGTGTAGAAGCTGGAAAAAGAGGAAGTTTAGTTCCAATCTAAGATAGGGAAATGAACTACACAAGGAAAGGACATGACCGACGCCTCACCTAAAAAAAATGAAGGAATTGAGGTACTGAGTTTCTCGGATAAACGTAAAATTTGAAGCTCAAGAAATGGTTTGCTGGTGCTGATAATTTTGATGAATGGTTTAGGGATGTTTATATAGTTGTTAGATCTCACTATTAAAGCCGAAAAGTTTCCTTTTTGATCTGTTGTGAGCTTTTGACAGGATCCACAAGATATATAGCACAGTTTCAAAAGTTGTCAACTGTTAGATTTATGGTTTGACAAATGCATATGATGCTAACATCTCTCTTTTCCTAAATATTCTTCAATAATTTGAACTTTCTTTCTCGATTGGAAAAAAATCGAGAAAACTTAAGAGGGAATAGAATCCTAAAACATTGATCTTTAAACAAGAAAATGACTTCTTCTTTTTTTATTGAGAGAGATATTTGAAATGAAGAGCCACTAGTTTATACAAGCAAAGATAAAAGACATGATTTAATATGAATTGGTTCTGGCTGTCTGGACCACAAGAGATATGTCAAGGAATTGAAATTACTTCACATGAACTAAGACACTTGTCTCGATAAAAAAAAGGTATATAAAATCTAGACGTTGGTGGATGAAGAATGTGTAGTCTTTCTACCCCTGCGGCCTGCAATGCAATGAACTTCAGCTCTCAGCAGTGGTGGATCCAAATTTTTTTTAGTTATGAGTGCTCAACTATTTCTAGTTTGAGTGGTCGATCTAAAATTTAGATGTTGTAGGTTCTAAACTGAGATAGAGAGTTTTGAGATGTATATGTAACTCTAGATGTACTTGTTTTATGCGCGAGCTCTCTCTCTCTCTCTCACACACACACACACATTCACACTTGTTCGTGGTTGAATGCGCCATTTCTCTTTTTGGATTTCACCACCACCCTTCACCAAATTCCTAAGATAGTGTTTTAGAAATTGAAGTGTAACAAGAATCTATTCCATACTCCTAATTTACTATTAAGTCTACTCAATAACTCATATATGAGCAATCTTTGAAGCTTTTTCTTTCGAAATGAGCCTTGCATCTTAGTACAATTTCTTATTGAGCTTCAAATATACGGATACGATTACTCCCATGCGTGACCATTTCATCAAAAAACTTAAACTACAGGAGAAACACACTTCTTATTACTTACTTATGTCTTCAACACACCTTCTCATGTGCAAGTTCGATTGTTTTTCATGGTATCACATGGAATTTTTCCTTAATGATGGGTGACGGTGAGACTGGAACTCACAATCAATGTATGCTCTGATACCATATTGATGAAATGTGTGACCATCTTATCTAAAAACTTAAACTGTTAAGAATTTAATAACTTAATTATATCTTCAACAACTCCACCCTAAAAGAATGTACATAGGCTCTTTTATTCGAACTTTGATGTAGCCAATCGTACTGCTAGCTTATCGCCAAAAGCCAAGCTTTGACCACAAACTGCTCTTCACTTCTAGATGCCTTGTTATTGTGATTTAGAAGTTCTTGGCTCATTGTTGTCACTTAAGTTGCATTGAACTTAAGAACCCTCAAATGTGGTTTCGACTAATTAGTTGCGTTGAAATTATATGTACTTAGCTCAACAATGATAGAATGTCTATCTTGAAAATGCTTCACATTAGCATCGAAATGGAAACTTGAGGGAGGAAAGGAAAGAGAAAAGGTGAAATTGGCTCAATTATAAAAGCAAAGCATCTGGTTCTTATCTGTGATAATTGAGAGTTGATGCTTAACAAAGATTCTTTGAATCTAATATCTGATCCTTATGTATTTCTCTTATTTTTTCTTGCTGTGATCCTTAAAATGAAAGACGGAAAGAACGCAAAATCTGAAGGAACGTCTTCATTATAACACTTGCACAGTTACAATGCAGCTAGAAATTAAACCCTTCTTCAAGAAACTAATCTAAAGAAAGAAGAAAAGAAAAAAACTAAAAGCAAGAGTGAAGAAGGGTTGTTTGAAGGCTAAATCTTCAATAGTAACTTAGTGTCGCCACGTCCCTCAATATAATTCACTTTCTCTCATGTCACCTCCTGAGAAAACAGAGAAATGAACAAAATGTTAGTAAATGATAAATGGTGTCGGAATGCAAAATGTCGATGATGCAGTACCAGAATCAGAAGGAAGATGGCTCACCGAAATCCCTAGGTGTCTTGCACTTATAACATTCTGCTCTACTGGCGTAATTGTGCGTACCACATCCTAATCTGTTGATCAAGAATGAAGTTGTGTCAGTTATAGACTTGATATTGGACCGGGACATAAACAGTAAGGATTCATATAGCCCCGACCCTACTTGTTTAAAGTAAAAATGAACGTAACTAACCTGCTGCAAATCCAATCACCACTCTTCCAACCAGGAAGAGCACTTGAATCATATCCATAACCTGTCGTTGCCATCATTCCTGCTCCGATGCCATAATAATCACTTTTTAAGGCACCACATCGATAGCAACTTGTTCTGCTTGCGTAGTTATGAGAACTACAGTTCATACCACTGCAAAACCAGTCTCCAGCCAAGACTTCAGTTTTGTTTAGTCCATACATGGCAACATCAGCCGGTGTTGCGTATTTTGGACAGCTGCATCGTTGACATGCATCCCGTTTCTTGAAATTTAGGTGTTGGCATGCAGCACACATCCAATCTCCATCTCTGCTCATTTTCTCTCTTGAAATCTGAATTCGTAAACATGAAAACAAAATTTTACATATGGGAAGTAAAATACGTACGCCATCTATTTCATTCTAGGAAGAAATTCCAAGCCAAGAACTGCATTACTTACACTAGGACATTTATTTCATTCTAGGAAGAAATTACGCAAAACGTTAATTTTGTATTGAAGGCGTAAAGTTTCAAGATCTTGCATTCAAAGTTGAATTATATTTTTTGCATTTACTTTCAGAGATGATAAAATGAACTACACAAGTGAAAATAAACATAATGAATGCCTCACCTAAAAGAAGTGAAGGAATTGAAGAAATGACTTACTGGAGTTGGTAAGTTTGATGAATGGTTTGAGAAGGTTTATATAGTTGGAAAAACTCACTATTGGGGCCCCAAAGGTTTTCTTTTTTGATCTGTTGTAAGCGTAAGACAGTTTCCTTAAATGGGATCCACAAGATATCGCACATTTTCCAAAAAGGAATTGGATAACCTCTTACTTTTCTTACTTCTCGAGTTCGAGTATAGAGGTATGGCTCAAAATACATATTTTTAGTTATTGTTTGTTTTATATTTATTATTTATATTTATTTATTTTTAGTATGAATTTTATGAATTGTGCTTAATAGTGTATTTTATTTGTAGGATTATATTGATGAAATAATAAAAAAGTTTGAAGCTAAAAAAGAATTATAGATGAAAGATTAAAGAAAGAAATGAAGCAGACAACTTAATGTATTAAATTGAATATGATAATATTTAATATATATGAATTGTAGTTGAGGAAAGAATTGAAGCTGAAGGAACCAAGTTACCACGTGGCAGCCAGCTAAAGGAAAATTAATTCGCTCTAAACTGAAGGCGGCGGACATTGTTGGCGCAATATGATTGTTTAGTGATTTTATTCTAACATGATTTGTTTATTATATTACTATTTTGATGCTTGATCACTATTGAAATAAATATATTATCCGAATTGAATTCAGGAGAGGAATAAGAGGATAGAACGTGGAATATAAGGAGCATGATTTTCTCTTAATAATTAAGGTTAGTTTGTATCTAGGATAGGGATATACCTAGAAACTATGCTTGGTCACTATACAGGAAGAAATCGTAATGCTCGATATTTGATCCAACGTATTCCCGCTCAACGATGTAGTTAGGTTGTCATTTATTGTAGGCGATTAGAGGTCGGGAGACCATGATCATACATTTAACCCTGTGAATCAATAACTAGATAATCAAATAAGTTGATGAAATTGATGCTAAACATGATTGTTAATTACTTTTTAGTTATTTTATCTTTATTTTTAGTTTAGTTAATATATTCATCTTTTGAAATCCTTCCCTTAAATAAATAATTAGAATTAATATAATTTAGTAATAATAATTAATTGACTAGTCCTTTGAGTTTGATAATCTGGTTCTTTTAAGAGCCACTATATTACTTGTGCGATAAGTTCTCAACTGTCAAATTCATGCATGTGAAGCATTATTTTGTTGAAAAAACATAATAGATTCCCCTCCTTACCCGTCCCCGGTCCATTATTCTTCTAGTAAAGTGTTTCTGAAAATATTATTCTTTGTTCTGTATCCATTTCTAGTAGGTGTTATGAGGGGAAGATGTTATATGAAAAGTGGGGTTATTTCAACGCATGCTCTTGCTAAGATCGATGGGCCCTCAAAATGATATGGATTAAACACACTTACACAATACATAAACATGTGTAATTAATCCACATTACAGATGGAAGCAATTGTCTGAAATGAAGGCTTATGTCGTTCAGGTGGAAAATGGTCCAGGTTCCAAAGGGTAAACACTGTAACAATTACTACCAGGGAATCAATTCCCTCATAATGCATATGTTGAGTTCTATTCTTCTTTTGTGTTATATTCTTCTTAATAATTCAAAAGTGAACTTCTTTTCATCTCCTGTTCATGTCATGTCCGCGTCTACGTGTCTAGTTTGTGACATAATTAGAACTCATAATCACATTTAGCCCTTTATTTCTACTTGTAAAGCATAATATGCTTGCCATCAGTAGATTGCTAAGAATATAAAAAGCATTTTTATCGGCGTACACAGATGATACATGAATTCAGAACAAAACATGAGAGTTAAATTATTCCTATGATACAATTTATCGGCCCAAACAGGTGAAACATGAATTAGGAACAAAACATAAGAGTTACATTATTCCTGACAGTATTGAATGTATCAACTTGGAAGAGAAATACCACCTTCATGACAGGTACCTGAGGCAATGTATTAAAGTGATCATCATATGGCGTTTATCTTCGTTTTTCAGTAGTAAACAAATCATCAATATTCTCTGAAGATTCTGAAAGTGATGCATTGTACGAGACTCAAATTATATGAATTTGATGCCCTGTAGTTGCAGATGAGAATTGAAAAGGTTAACCATCTTTGACCATAAACAATATAGTGTAAGGTTATTTTATAACTTTTGACTTGGTTCTGATGCCTTAACAATATAGCGTACGTAGTCTTACCATGCATTTCTGCAAGAGGTTGTTTTCATAGCTCGAACCCGTAACACTTTCAGCTAAGATTCTAACATGGCGACCGTTCCAATAAGTTGTTAATTGGTAATAATTTTCAAGCAATGAAAAGAAGTGAGCAAAAATAGACAATCTGCTGTCCTTGATGACTGATCATGAGTGTCACCGAAAAAAAATACTCCCTCCATTTCAATTAGTTAATTTGTCTTACTTTCCTTTTTAATCAGTTTAAAAAAGAATGACTATTTCCTTTTTTGGAAACTCTTTAATTCTAGCGTTCCATGTGACATGCTTAAGACCACAAGATTAAAGAATATATTGGTACATTATGAATATCTTTAATTTAACTTTCTTAAACTTCGTGTCAAGTCAAAACCAGACAAACAAGTTGAAACACAGGAAGTAACAACAAAAAAAGGCCTTTTATGCAAACACAATGAATTAAGATCTTTTGACAAATTATCCAGGCCACAAACGCTGACATGACATCCACAATTGATTCCACCTAACCAGAGATGCTCGCGTGTAGACATAGGATTTGATAAGGAGGAATCCTAATCACTATTTTTAACCAGACAACATGAATATTCTGGATAAGAAAACCTCAGACAAAGCTTCATCCTTTATTCTTTATATGTGACCATTCTGTAAAGGGGACCAATCCTCCTCAATAATACTTACCAGATGTTGGGTATATAGCAAGAGTTAATGGGAAATAAAGGGAAGATGAAAAGAGCCGAACTTGAAAAGTCCTCTTATGCTTTAGTAAAAAGTCATTTTTCCCTCATCGGTGGAAAAATAGAAGAATTTAAATAGAGAAATACTTCTATTAATTGTTAAAAGGGTTGGAAAGAGGGACCCCCCTCGCGCCGCCCTCGTCACTTGGCTCGGCTTTGGCTTCAGCTTTGGAAATGATCGAGAGATTATTTTTGGACAAAGTTTTGTTTTAATTATTTATTTAATTGATTAAATAAAATTACGCGTGACCCGTTTTATTTAAATTACTTTCCCATTTTTCCGCCGTTGGAAATGACTGTTCTGAAAGGTTGCAACTTTCAGGAACAACCATGACCGTTTGAAAGGTTGCAAATTTTCTGAAATGGTCGTGTGGTTTCTGAAAGGTTGCAACCTTTCGGAACCAGTTACTCTTGGCTATAAATACCAATTATTCTTCAGACTTTTTACTTACGAAAATTTCTGATTTCTTCTTCTTCTTCTACACAAATATTTTTCATGTACTTTACTACCGTTGAGTGACTCGCTGACACCAGTGTTTTGGGTATCAATACACTGGTGATTGAGATCATTCTATCCTAGGAGGACATATTCCAAATCAAACCTCGGATACTAGAGGGGAATAATTTCCTTAAGGGGACACTGTGCATTCAGTGGGCTTGATTTTTTTTCGTTCTGTTTTTTCCAAATTCTGGTATATTTTACATATTTTAGTTTTTTGTGAATTAATTAATGTTCTTCTGTTTTTTCATTGGTTCATTAAACTTTGATAACTTCGTATTTCTGCAAAGTTTGGTTTAACCAGTGGTACTGTTTTAGACACAGATTTGGTAACAATCTTAAGGAAATTATATATTTATTTTTAATATATGTTTCTGGTGAAGACAAAAATCTTTGTGGTTTTAGACTACTATTAAGTTTGCAATTTAAGTTATTGCTTACTAAGTCTGTAACGATTTTTGTTTATCAGAAATGGCAAACAACAATGCTACAGTGGCTGTTGCTGCACCAACCCGAACTGTTGTACCACCAGCAGAGAAACCGGGAAAATTCTCTGGTGTGAATATCAAAGGATGGCAGCAACGGGGTATTTTCCTGGCTTACCACTCTTGGTCTGCAGAAATTTAGTGAAGAAACTCCGGTGCCTGCTGCTGAAATGCAGACAGAGAAAAAATCATGATTATTGAAGCATGGAAACAGGCAGACTTCCCATGTAAGGGCTACATTCTGAGTGCTTTAGAGGATGACTTATATAATGTCTATAGTGCAATGACAACTTCGAAAGAATTGTGGGATGCACTTGAGAAGAAATATAAGACAGAAGATGCATACTTGAAAAAGTTTATGGTCACAAAGTTTTTAGACTAAAAATGTCAGATAGTAAAACTGTTGGATCACAAGTGCAGGAACTTCAACTTATTTTCCATGATATGATTGCTGATGATATGGTAGTAAATGAAGCTTTTCAAGTGGCTGCAATGATCAAAAAGTTACCTCCTTCGTGGAACGACTTCAAGAATTATTTAAAGCACAAACGTAAGAAAATGAAGCTTGAAGATCTTGTGATTCGGCACAAGATTGAGAAAGATAACAAAATCGCCGAAAAGAAGTCTCGTAAGAGTTCGACAATAATTGGAGTTAATATTGTTGAAGAAGCTCCTACAAAAGACAAGAAGAGAAGGAAGTTCAACGGACATAAGTCAGAACAGGCCAAGAAGAAATTCAAGAACAACTGTTACAACAGTGGTAAGGCTGGTCATAAGTCTTCTGACTGTCGTGCTCCAAGAAAGGACAAAGACAAAGACAAAAGCAAAAGTCAAGCAAACATCGTGGAAGAGATGGAAGATATGTGCAATGATCTCGGAGTGCAACTTAGTTGGAAATCCCAAGGAGTGGTTTCTCGACTCAGGTGCCACTAGACATATTTGCTCTGCGAACGAAGCCTTTGCAATGTACACTCCTGTTGAGTTCGATGAAGATTTGTTCATAGGGAACACAACAACAAAAAAGATTGCAGGAACTGGGAAAGTATTGTTGAAAATGACATCCGGTTAGGTGTTGAC